TTCCACAGTGAGTATAACTAGCATGGTTTACTGCATATACAGACTGATTTTACGGTTATAGGTTTAGTAACACTTTAAAGGAATAGTAAAGTGCAATTTCATTGAGCAGTGTGTTTGCCATAAAAAAAAATAATAAATTTGTGCAAAATCCATGAAAATGTCCTGTGAAGTAATTCTGTGAATACATTTCAAACAAGTGCAGAAAAAAACGTTGCAAACTTCCATCATGATGAAACCCTTTTGGGTACACTCTCACCTCAATATAATGACCCCCACAACAAAAGGTCAATATGCACTCCCATATAAATAATTGGATCTGCACATCCCATGTTTGATCATCAAATCCTCAAACTCTGATGAACACCAGCAGCTCAGGTGGTGGTTGGATAGGTTGGCGCATTTCACATATTAAAACACAACAGAAGCTGCCATAGTGCTCAGTGTTTTATTAATAAAATTCTGAAAATAAAAATCCACTGGCATGTAAAAGCACAGGATATGAACATATATCAATCTAATTCCCACTCTGAATAGATATTAACACTCAATCCAGCTCCTCTGGCCATTAGCTCTCACTCTGTTCCGTGAAATCACGCCCCTACGCATTTTGTCGTAGTTACATCATCAGCTGGCCCCCTGATGACGTGAGTTCTGGTGGAATTGGATTGACTGTTAATATTCATCTATACCTGGAGGAAACCAGAGCACCTGGAGCATATCTGCGCAATTCTGGGAAGTACTTATATACTCAATGCAGTGTCTTCCTAATGGGAACCAAACCCAGGATTACAGGTCACGATGTAAACCACTAAGCCTCCTAGCTGACCATCAAAGGGTCTGTTACTGTAGTTCAAAATAAATACCTTACAATGAGATCATAAATCAGGGACATGTATAAAAACAAAAAAAAAGGGCCATTTGTAAATTAGAAAGAGCAAGATTACTAGCTAGCTTAACTGTGCTTATTATGTGAAAGTGATATCCAAGCATCTCGGTCACATAAAAGTGCCATTAAGTGCTTGCAATCACACGGCATAATTTTTTGCTGTCTAGGCAAATAATGATGCACATCTCATTACAAATTACTTAAACTTATTTCACTTTTTAGTGAACTGATTGTGATTAGATATTCTGTATAAGAAGAAATGGAAGTGAATATTACATTTCAAATATAAAAAAAAAAAAAAAAAGTGCAATGATTACTAGTTCGATTCAGCATTGCCCCTAGAAATCTGACAGCTGACAACCATAGGAATGCTTTGCATAGCCAAGATGGCACTGGATATCTGCCTGCAGCTTATCCTTCCTAAGGGCATCTGAGTGCCTGCGACACGTGGGAGACGTTACCAGGGGTTAAATGCCAAATAAAACCAGCAACATAAGGAAAAAATGAACACAATGTAAAATCACAGCTTACAATGTCCTAGCCTGGCATTTGTTCTTCCTGTTTTAGAGGCGTAAGTACATGCTATTAAGTGCTTTAACAAGACAATTACGATCCCCACTTATCTGTGGATGTTATGTGGTTCTAGCTGCCCCCAAAATGTTCATGTGCACATAGGAAAGTTAAAGTGGCACTAAACAATAACCTTGTTCTCCCCAAAGGGAATCCATGTACATCGACTACTTAATGGCCCTCTAATATTTTTCATGAAAATGGTTTGTGTGTTTTTCTGCTTCCTTGTAATGTACTTCATGAGCTCCTGAGCTTCTCCTTTTCCTCACTTCTGAATGTTTGGAATGAGAATTGCACATCAGTTGTACTATTTACTACTAAAAATCTTACTGTCCCTAGACTGGTCCCGCATTCTGAGACCTGTGACATGTTTCAGAAGACTGTGGGGGGGGTGGGGGTTGGAGAACTTCTGCTTAGATCGCCTAGGCAATCAGAGCAGAAGTGGGTACCTGGAGGAGGAAAAGGCCTTACAGCAGAACTTCCCTTTTGGGTGAAGCTATGATTTAAAAACTTTTTTACATCTGATCATCATTTTTTGCAACTTTCTTGTTTGATATGCAGTTTTTGCACTCAAATATATAGAGTATGGATTAATAAGACTGAAAAAAAAAAAAAAAAACGCATTGAAACATTACCTTTAATGAGGAAAAGTTTGCCCAACTTTCACAGGAACCACCAATCCTATTTGAAAATCTCCCCTCTATTTCTGTTCTGGTGACAAATGTTACATTTTTGGACTTCCCATCACTACTTGGCCTTGGTAGCAATATATACCTGGAGAATTAGAAGGTTAAGTCTCCCTAGCAGGCAAACAGACTACAATGAAAACCAGGCACCTGACCAAAGTACAATTGCACTTTAATACGAATGTCATTTTGTATTAGTTAGAAATAGATTTCTAGGGCCCTGTGCACTCCTGTGTGATGAGGCATGGTTGAAAGTGTTTCATCACTTGCCATCACTCTGCCATTTCATTCATTGCTTCCTGTTCACTTCTGAATGTAGTGCAGCTTGAAAATACACAAGCTACTTTCGGGACATGGTCGAATTTTGGCACCAATGAACTTCAATGAGAGCGTGCAAAAATTCACCTAGTAGCTAGCTTTACATTGGCTAATAAATAATCCATCTACCATGAAGAATGCACACACAAAAATAATCTTAAAATGCAAACAAAAATACTCCCCTAACATACTAAAAAGGCACTGCAATGTATATACAGTGGGGAAAATTATTATTTGATCCTCTGCAGATTTTGTAATTTGATCACTTAAAAAGAAATGAAGGGTCTATAATATTTATCATAGGTGTATTTTAGAGGATAGAGACAGAATATCAACCAAAAAAAAAAAAAAAAAAAAAAAAAAAAGCACACGATACCAATGTTATAAATTGAATTGCAGTTCAGTGAGCAAAATAAGTAACTTGATCTCTTGCCAATCAACAATAATTCTGGCTCCCACAAACTGGCTATGTGCTCATGTGGTACACAGATTAGTCCTGTCAATTTAAGAAGTTGCTCCTAATGTCAACTCGTTATGTGTATAAAAGACACCTGTCCACAAAATCTCTTTCTTCCCATTCAAACTCACCATCATGGGCAAAGAGCTGGCAAAGGACATCAGGGAAAAGACGGTAGACCTGTACAGGGCTAGAATGGGCTACAAGAAAGAAGCTTGGGGAGAAGGAGACAACTGTTAGAGTGACTATTCGCAAATAGAAGAAATGCAATATAACCATCAATCACCTTCGGTCTGGAGCTAGATTTCACCTCATGGGGTAAAGATGATCATGAAAAAAGTGAGGGATCAGCCCAGAACTACATTGGAGAAGCTTGTGAATGATCTCAAGGCAGTTGGGAGCAGTCAAGCACGGAGGTGGAAACATATTTTGGGGCTGTTTCTCTGCTAAAAGGTACAGGCTGACTTTGCCACATTGAGAGGCCAATGGACAGGGCCATGTATTGTAAAATCTTCTCAGCCAGAACACTGAAGTTGGGTCGTGGATGGGTCTTCCAGCACAATGATCCAAAACCTACCACCAAGGCAACAAAGGAGTGGCTCAAGAAGATGCACATTAAGGTCATGGAGTGACCTAGCCAGTTTCCATACTTTAATCCTATGGAAAATTTATAGAGGGAGCTGAAACTTCGAGTTGCCAAGCAACAGCCAAGAAACCTTGAGGCTCCATGTACACGAGCCTGCCCTGACCGCCAGCTGCGGGGAAGGAAAAAAAAAAAAAAAAAAAAAAAAAAAAAAAAAAAAAAAAAAAAAAATAAAAAAAAAAAAAAAAAAATCGCAGCAACCGCGGTAAGAAGGCTTTGCATTTTTTCCGGGGTCAGCGGCCAAAACGTTTCTATCCTGAACGCAATTCCTCCGCGTTCAGGAGAGGGAGATTTAACCTCACCTAAACGCAGCAGCTCCTTAACTCTGCTATAAGCCTATGTGTACATGGACACGTAGGCTTTTATGTTGAGTTTAGGAGCTGCTTGTGTACATGAAGCCTAAGAATTTAGAGAAGATCTGTAAAGAAGAGTGAACCAAAATCCCCCCGGAGAGGTGTACAAACCTGGTACACAACTATAGGAAACGTCTTAACTCTCTGCTTACCAAACAGGGGTTTCTCCACCAGTACTAAGTCATGTTTTTCTTCAGGATCAAATACTTACCGGTATTTTACTCACTCACTGAACTGCAACTCAATTTATAACATTTGTATTGTGTTTTTTTCTGGGTTTCTGGTTGATATTCTGTCTCTATCATTTAAAATAAAACTATGATTTGCCCTAAGTGGGCAAACTTACAAAATCTTCAAAGAATCAACAAATGTACAATTAAGAACATGCATATTTTTAATAGTTTACCTTGTTTAAAACCTTTAAAGCAGTATTAAAGCCAAAAGCACATATTTATTATTGCAGCTAATTCTTATATGTGGTGGCTGTACTAGTTTCCTTTTTGAGGCTTTCTTCTATTTTCACCTGATGATTTAGCCAGCAACTCTGCTGCTTTTTAGAAGCTCAAGTTCTCCAGCAGAATGCATCAGTGCCAGAAATAATCAATTTACCACTGGCAGAGGTGAATAACCACTTGCCCTTCAGAGGACTTACCTCCCTTCCTAACCAGGCCATTTTTTGCGATACGGCGCTGTGTTACTTTAACTATTAATCACGCGGTCATGCAATGCTCTACATAAATTAAATTTATGTCATTTTTTTCTCACAAAAAGAGCTTTCTTTCAGTGGTCTTTTATCACTTCTGTGTTTTTTTTATTTTTTGCGCTGTAAACAAAAAAAGACTGACAATTTTGAAAAAAAATATATATTTTTTGACTTTTTGCTATAAAACATATCCAATAAAAAAAAAAAAAAAAAACTAATTTCTTCATAAATGTAGGCCAAAAGGTTTCTGGTCTATGTCTTTGCTAAAAAAAAAAAAAAAAAAATTCAAATAAGTGTATATTTTACGTGAACATTATAGCGTCTACAAATGGTGGTATATATACACCTGAATTTTTATTTTTTTATACTAGTAATGGCGACAATCAGCGACTTATAGCTGGACTTCGGGACTGCGGCACTGGGTGGGAACAACCACTGACATCCCCAGTGACAATGATACAGTGATCAGTGCTAATAAAAAGCACTGACGCTGTACTAAAGGCACTGGACAAGAAGGGGTTAACATTTGGGGCGATCAAAGGGTTAACTGTGTGTTTGTGTGTGTTTTACTTGGGCGACGTGCTGCTTTGCATCTCTCTGCTTTGCAGTTTACACACAGATCTCTCCCCTCTCAGCCCTACCAACGATCACAGAGTGATTTCAATCCCCAGCAGCCAATAGCAGAGTGGGTAGGACGCATGCATGCGCCCCCTACCCGGAAATGCAAATCACGTGATTTTGCGCAGCCATGCCGCCCTGTAGAAGTACTTCTGCTATAGAGCGGAGGGCAACTGGTTAAAATGATCAGTTTTTATTTATTCCTGTAAAGCCTTTATCTGAAAAAAGATAAGATTACTGTAACCTGATTAAAAAAAAGATTACTGTAACTGATTAAAGTATTGGCTGGAGTTTGGCTTCAACTTGTTTTTGTATTCAAATCTACTAAAACATTTTAAAAACATTGGTTTGCGGAGATCGAATGCATTTTTTAGCGTTAGCGGTTTTTCCAGCTAAAAAAAACTCCTCTAGAGACCCATTAGTTCTGTTTTTTTTCCAGTCAAAAAAAACATTGGTTTACTGGCTGTAGAAAAAAAACATCAAAAGCCAAAAACAGCAGCTGGAAAAACGTCCAGTGTGCATGAGGACTAGTCAGCAGCTACAGTTTTATTTAGATGCTGACTTACAATAAACACAAAACTGACTGGAATGCCACTTTAATCATCAAAACAAAAAAACTTTAGGGTCCTTTATACTGAATATTGATACTGAGATTTTTAATCCGAACACCCAATGTAGTACAAACCTGCCAGTGACATTTATTGCCATAATGATGAAATCTGCAGGTGATGTAACTGCCTATTTGACTAGCAAAAGCAAATAATTTATAGCACAGTGCAGAAATCCAGACTAAGTACATAGACGGTGTGTAAACAGTGTTTAAATTCTGGACACATCAGTATAAAGTGGAAATCTCATCTAACAGCATAAATTTTATAGCATCCTCATAGCAACTGTTTACAAAGTGACAATTTACTTACAGGCAAAAAGGAAAGACAATGTTTCCATTGTGCAACACCTATAAGTTTTTTTGGGGAGGGTAGCGAAAGATCTTCATCACCACCATAAAGAAAAAAGGTTCGCTACTGTGCAAAGTCCACCAGTACAGGTCCAACGTACATGTACACTTATAGTGAAAACATGGGTGTGCGTTGGGAGGACAAAAAGATCTGAAAGCTTATTCTATGTACAGTATTTGGGATTTTAGGTCCACCAAAATTGGTTGCAATCAGTAAAATAAATCCTTGTCAGCTTTTACATTTTCAAGGCCTCTCTTGGCAAACCAGCCTTGTGTGTGGTCATTTCATTAAGTCATGCATAATAATTATTATTTTTTATGATACAGGATGTATATAGCGCCAACAGTTTGCTCAGCGCTTTACAATATAACGGGAGACAATACAGCAACAAAACAGTTCAATACAAGAGGGATAGAAGGGCCCTGCCCCTTGGAGCTTTCAATCTAGGATGTCCAAATTATGTATTCTCTTGTACAACAGAGAGCTTTTATTACAGGTGCCATTTATACTTTTGCATTTTGTTCAAAATAAGACTACTTGAAGTCTGTTCTAGGGTTTAGAAAAGGCCAGCATGGGGAGTTTGGCAACCCTCTAAGTCACACAAGTGACTTTTGGGATAAAGGTTTTACATAAATGAATAAAGCCGATCATTGTAAGCACCCGTTATTAGTAAAATGGTTTGTCTCGTCCCTCCAGGTACAACTTTTGGACAATTTTATCTGTTATAAGAAGTTGAAAAATAACATACTTACTTGCTGTAACAACAGGTGAAACTAACAGTAAAAACAAAATAAAAAACTGAATTGGTCATTTTCAGTATATTGAATTTTTGCTTTTTTGGTTTAGATAGTCTAAGTCCTAATCTTTTGCCTTGCCTTGATTTCACAGGCAGAACAGTTTGGCTTCAACTTTGGCCTTTAACAAGCAAACACTTCATGGAAGGACATCCGTGCAATTTACTGAATAAAGCCCAGCAAAGAAAGTTTGTTTGTGCTGATGCCAGCAATAATTTGTTTCCTCAAAAACAATCTGCCAGACACATTATTAGTGCAATCGTAACTCCAGATAAGGATGAAACTAAGATATTACTCTAGTCTTTCTACAGCTACTATAAAACCTTAAGCCACCATTGAACATCAGCCCCTGTAGAAACAGTGTTGTAATGAGGTGGTCAGTATTACATTTCAAAATAATGAGGCACATGGTATCTATGTACACTATATTGCCAAAAGTATTGGGACACCTGCCTTTACACGCACATGAACTTTACTGGCAGCCCAGTCTTAGTCTGTAGGGTTCAATATTGAGTTGGCCCACCCTTTGCAGCTATACTGTAACAGCTTCAACTATTCTGAGAAGGCTGTCCACAAGCTTTAGGATTGTGCTTATTGGAATGTTTGACCATTCTCCTAGATTGTAAGCTCAAAAGAGCAGGGCCCTCGAACCCCTCGTGTATCACATTGTATTGGTATTGTTCTGTCACATGTTCTGTCCCCCTTTGTAATGTACAGCGCTGAGCGAACTATTGGCGCTTTATAAATACTGTAATAATAATAATAATAATTCTTCCAGAAGCGCATTTGGCACGGATATCAAACAAGAAGGCCTGTGCAGACCAGTCAAGTTCCTCCACCCCAAACTCGTTTATCCATGTCTTTACAGACCTTGCTTTGTGCACTGGTGCGCAGTCATGTTTGAACAAGAAGGGGCCATCCCCAAACTGTTCCCACAAAGTTGGGAGCATGAAATTGTCCAGAATGTCTTGGTATGCTGGATGGCTTAAGAGTTTCTCTCACTGGAACTAAGGGGCCAAGCCCAACCCCTCTAAAACAATCCCTACACCATAATCCCCCCCTCCACCAACCTTTACACTTTGCACAATGCAGTGAGGCAAGTACCATTCTTCTTGCAACTGCCAAAACCAGACACGTCCATTGGATTGCCAAAGAAGCGTGATTTGTCACTCCAGAGAACACGTCTACGCTGCTCTAGAGTCCAGTGGTGGCATGCTTTACACCACTGCATCCAACGCTTTGCATTGAACTTGGGGAGGCTTGGATGCAGCTGCTCAGCCATAGAAACCCATTCCACAAAGCTCTCTATGCACTGTTGTGCTAATCTGAAAGCCACATGAAGTTTGGAGGTCTTTGGCTATTGACTCTGCAGACAGTTGGCAACTTCAGCGCACTGTGCACTTCAGCATGCGCTAACTCCGCTCTGTCATTTTTTACGTGGCCTACCACTTCGTGGCTGAGTTGCTGCTGTTCCTAGATGCTTCCAATTTGTTACAATACCACTAACAGTTGACCGAGGAATATTTAGTAGCAAGGAAATTTCACAGATGGACTTATTGCACAGGTGGCAACCTATTACGGTACCACACTTGAATTCACTGAGCTCCTGAGAGCGACCCATTCTTTCACAAATGTTTGTGGAAGCAGTCTGCATGCCTAGGTGCTTGATTTTATACACCTGTGGCTATGGAGGTGATTGGAACACATGAATCCAATGATTTAGAGGGGTGTCCCAATACTTTTTGGCAATATAGTGTACATGGTAATTCAACTATTTGTCACAGCCAAAATCAAAAGAAATTTAAGTCTCGTACACACAATGAAAAATATTGGATGAATGATTGTCCTTTTTTTTTTGCATGCTAGTCTCCTATCAAAAATGAAGAGGTTACTAAAGTTACGAAAATTCTCGGGCAGAATACAACTTCCCGCAATGATGTAATGTATAGTATTGTATTCTTTTGCGTCCTAGTATGTGTGGTCATGGTCACTCGATATTCTATGGACGAATACTGTACGGATTAAACAAAAATCATTCATTCATTCTGGTATCGTAAGAGAAAAATTTTTGTGATTGTCCCTTCCTGATTGTCGAAAGCGGTGTACTAATGATCATACTACTGGATGAGGACTCATGAAGCTGTATTTTTCATCAGATTTTCTCATCTTGTGCACTAGGCTTGAGTATAAAATAGGCATAGCATATGTTCTGAACCACAAGATTGAAAAGTTAACTTGGGCATTTTTCCTTTATGGAACAGTGAGGGGTCAACGTGTTTATTGCTGTCTGTGTCTCTGCTGGGGAAATTCACTCCTTTATCTGTCCTGGCGATGACCACAGTCATCTAGAATGAGAGAAATGCAAAAACCAAAATGTAACCAGAGAAAGAAGCATCAATCCCTGGTGCTCAACCTACAGCTCTTTGGCATTTATTGTGTGGCAATTAAAGATAGTAGTCTGTGTTTTAATGTTTACTCAAGCCAATAAAGAAGGTACTCTTTAGACTGGCATCTGGTAGGTAAATGGTTTGATTTAAGTTTTAAGCCGGCCATACTTGGATCAAAGTTTGGCTGGTTCAGCAGGAACAGGCCAAATCTGATCCATGTATGAGCACTCATTGTACAGTCAATCTACCAATCAACTTCTGTACAACCACCCAGGTCATGTCTTTCCTGCTCGATCAGCACAGCCATAGCTGGCAGCGCTGGTCAGTGTATTCTGATGGCTGGGAAGGCTCCTACTGTCAGAATACAAAGGCTCAGTCGGGAGGATCGAGTGTGTGGATAGGGGAACCTAACCATTTTTTTTCATTCAACTCCAATGACTCATCCATGGGCTGTTTTATTCTTTTTTTGCTCCAATCTTTTATAATACAGAGAAATATCATACAGTATGTAGCACCGCTAATTTGTAAGGGGGCTGTAAGGAGCAAAAATGTGAAAGCATTGGCTTGTAAAGAGGCTGTAATAGATGTGATCTGTCAGCCTAATGTAATGTGTCTCCTGTCTCCCAACAACTTCTATAGCATGTTTGCAGTCTCTAATCATCTCCCGTTGTATGTCTGCAGTCTTTGATCGTTTTTTGTAACATTACATTCACTGAATATTATGTGTGGTGATGCCAGGGGCTGCACTTGAGGACCACTACTTTAAGTAAATTGACCACCACTGTCGTAAATCAGCCAGCAGGGTCAAATATTGCAGTGGCAACTGTCCAAGATGGAAATTACCCTAATTTTTGGGAGAAATCTAATTTTCTGTTGCAT